CAAAAAAGTCATAATACACGAAGGACCTAAAGTTTTTTCCTCCGCTAGAGGAACTCCAATATCGCTGCAAATAGTCCTAAAATTGTTCATGAGATGCAAACATTCCCCCGACCTAGCTTTTCCGGCAAGCAAGAAATCGTCTAAATAATGCTCTATTGATTCCTTGCACGATTGAAACCGGACCAACCACTCTAAAAAGCATGCAAACTTTTCGAACAGCGCGCACGCCGCCGAGCATCCCATTGGGAGCGCTTTCTGGAAATAAAAGTTGTCTTGGAAGCGAAAACCAAATAAAACAAATTCATCAGGGTGCAATATTAATAATCTAAATGCCGAGACTATATCCATTCGTGCCAGTTCTGCCCCCTTTCCTAGTGTACTAATAGTGCCAAGAATGTTTTCAAAGGATGTGTATTGCACGGTTGCTAGTTGGGGGTCAATAAAACTATTAATACTACTTCCTAGTGGATAACTCAAATGTTGTATCATACGCCATCCGTGAGTTTTAGAGCCAGGAGGAGGCTTTTTAGCTACAAGCCCTATCGGTGATAGGCGGAGGTTAGAAAAGGGTTTGTTTTTAAAGGGGCCCGCTATTCGCCCCGCCTGAATCTCTTTTACAATTTTTTCTTCTAATTCAGACTCATGCTGCTTTGCCGAAATCAAATTTGAACAATTAAAACCTTGACGCGGACCCATGTAATTTACTTTAAATCCATTTGTAAATCCATCTAACAATATATGTGCATCAATTTTATTCGGATAACTTTTTAAAAAATGTCTTAATCTTTCTACTTTAATCGGTGTCTTCCCTAACTCAATTAGCCTATATGATTCCGGGGACTGACGATGCTGACTTAAATCTAAATCCATTGACATTGTTTTTATAACTCTTTTCTCTCCGAAAGTCACTCCGAAATGTTTCATAAGGATTTCTTTTCTCATTCTGACTGTTTTGTGTAGGTTTTAAATTACAAAACAACGCTGCATGAGCACCCCCGCATTTTAAGCATCTATGAAGATAACGACAAGCTGAACGGCCGCATCTTCCTTTATAGTTGTACAGGAAACATTTACCTGCATTCATTTGAGATATGTGAGGTTCTTTTGTTGGAGTTACACCCTGGGATATATACAGAAGCCATAACTCCCATGTCTACACAACCCCAATTTATTGATGGGTTTCTGGCCCGTTTTAGTTTTAATTGTTGATCATAGGTTAACCAACCCATATCAGCACATCTGCCTGCCCCCAATTTAACATTATAAATATACTTCAGTAAACCCGGGGTACTACTAGGATGTGCTGCTGTATAAATGCTAGTATAAATTAAGATAGCATCGAACCATGTATTGATCTCGGATATTTTCTTCCCGGATTTTGGCTTTAAATTAAGATTTCCATTATTATCCATAACTACCGCCCTTGATTGCTCAGAATGAGAAATAACCAATAGGTTTTCCAATTCTACATATTCCCCATTAATAATTTTGTCTCTCACTTGCTGTGAAATGTGCACCCCAAGGTCATCATTGAAACTTTTAACCGGGGCAATATTATCATTATCATTTACAAGTATGCTGTTATTAGTGATATTTATACCTGACAAATCTGTATCTGGGGTTGAGCAGGGTATGGGTGTCCTCTGGATAGCCTCAATTGCTTTAGCTATTTGGTCCTTTAATTCATGCACGATGCGTGCGGTGACAGTATCTGCCACCTGCTCCAACTCTGGACTCAGGCTAGCGGTCGGCTGCTGCTGGGGAACTCGCTGAGTATTTGCCTTCACACTTCCAGTCCTCCGGTAAATAACTGTTTCCCCATCTGAAGAATGGTGAGCAGACTTCCTGTTGGCCGCCGCGTATGGGCTCCTAGTCTTCCGGGCCGTTCTTCCCATATTCTTATCACACAATCTGAAAAATCTGACGAAAAATGTCTGCCTGTTCTTCTTTAAATCTCTGAACGCCAATGCAGACGATACACTGACGTCACAAACGATATTGGTCCGCTAGGCCACATGACTCTTTTTAGAGAAGCGTAGTTTGATTTTCAGAAAATCGCAAACCTACATTATAAAGAAACTGTATAAAGAAAGATAACTCGTATAACTGAAACGGCAACTTCACAAAGTTAACGCAATCTATCCCCTATTAGGATAGATTGAAATATTACCGAATTAAACTGATTTGACATGATAATTTGTAAACCTCCATGAATTGTTATTAAACTTGTATGGAGTTATTCTTCAAGATCAAGATAAAAGCATCTACAGAAAAACATGTTTTCCTCCGTTAAGTGTACCGGATAATGTACAGTCAGTCAACATTTAATTTACGCTTTTACACTGACAGCAGAATTTTCCGGCGAGACACAGGGTTAATAAGAATCTTTACTTTATTTATTAATTTACAGCTTCCATTTGAGAACTAAGGAAAAAACGGCAGGACCAAATGGTTTGGGATATCTCCGAATTACTGTTAATGTTTTAGTACTTTTTTTCTTATTTTTGTCTGTCGTTCCTTTTTTCATACAAAATAACTCTGAACAACAACTTGAACTTTAATTTGAACTTTAACTTAATGGATAGCGGTACTCATCCAAAGCGCATTACACAAACGACGTATGGAAATCGGTCTAAAAATAGAACATATTTTTTCCAAAATGGTCACGTGGTTTTACCTCGTAGAAGTAATGGGATAACCACATCAAAGAATGACATGGGCACATCAAATACTGAAACAAACACATCATGCAGTGTAAAATCGTCAAAGGAGTAGGTCCAGTAAGACCCTTTTTTGGCCCCAAAATATAGCAGTTTTCTAAAATTGTTAAAATGTAAACTTTTAGCTATTTATTGGAAAGTAGAATACTTCTGCTATACAAATATGGGCTGTTTTTGACAATACAATGCACATATATCGGGTACTAGCATCATTCAGTCATGCTAAATTACTGAAATCTTCACAATTTTAGCATTTGAGTTAAATTTTAGACGGTTTTCGTCTTAAATGGACGTGGCCGCATTTGTGTTCATTCTTAATATTTAAATGCAAGTTGTATTTGATGATAATACAAAACATATATAAAGGGTGAGAGTGAACACGGATGCGGCCACTTCCATTTTTTACAAAAACCATCTAAAAAGTGACATATTATGGCATATTTGATAGATCTTTCATATTTAAGCTTGAATTTGAGCGTATTTTATGACTAAATCAGTTAAAATCTTTCACATAAACTAATTGAATCGACTGAAGTAGACACTTAAGTGTTTAAAAAGTGTCCAAAATCTTTCATCAGATAAATCTGAAATTTGAGGCCAAAATCGGCCCTTACCGGACCTACTCCTTTTGAAACATCATTACGTAATGTTAAAGACATATAAAGAATTGACAAATCATCATTACGAAATAACAAAACCACATCATGTAATGAAACAACTACATTACGTCAAGTCACATACACATCAAGTAATATTAAAACCACATTGCCTAATGACACAACCACATTAAATAATGGTGAAACCAGATCGAGTAATGACAAAACCATATTAAGTAATGACAAAACTATATCAAGTCAATACGAAACCATATCATGTAATATCGGAATATCATAAAGTAATGACTTTTCCATATTGAGTTATATCAAAACATCATTACGTAATGTCAAAATCATATTATGTAAAGACAAATTATCATCAAGTAATAACAGAACAACATAACGTAATATCAGAGTTTCACATAAGACAGCTGTGGCGTTCCATATATGTGGTCCATTGTGACACACGATATTTCATAACGGTCAACCATCTATTGATGACGTTCATGAAACTTTCGAAAGGCTGACATCAACTTAACCAAGTTGAATTGTTGGACATTGTTAACACCAACTTTCCATCAAGACAATCATGCTATTAAACGTTAGTTCTGAAATATTATACCAACTTGAAGATATATACCCAATATGCAGACACTTCTGGAATGTTGATTTATAGAAATTCTTTCCAAACCGACCCTCTCCGATAATTTGTTTTCCTAAAAACTTTGATCACACATAAATTATGAGCAAATGTTACAAAATTAGTTAACAGATAATGAACCAGGTTCTTTGCTGGACATTCAAATAGCCATGACAAGGCTTGCAGCTGTTCTTACAAACTCAGGGTTTCTACCCGACTTTCCCACCAGTAATTTTTTCAGTAGAAGTTTTGGTATTAATGCCTGTGCTCGAATGATATTCCTGTCAGTGTCTGAATCATATGCGAGATGATTTGCTGCTGTGTATTCCTAATTAACTCCCATCTGAATTCCGACACACCTGTAATCTCGAGAAATTTTCGACAATAGCGTAAAAGTTGCATACCTTCAGAATATTTGATCAAAGCGACACCTTTGTCTCTCTACTTTAAAATGGCACCCGCGTTCTATAGAGCTATGATCAGCTTATACCTAAACTTATAATAGTGTTTTCATGACCTACTTGTGAACATTAAGTCATCCATGACCTTATCGTTTGTTATTCTGATCGTTATTTTTGTAATTGATCACATTTTAAGAATTGCAGTAGTCAGCACATTTGTGTTGAAATATCATGGATATGGGCATATATTTCTATATTAACTGTTCACAAAACTTATTCGAAATACTTTGCTATCTTAGCCATGTTAGCTGTATTTAATAAAAAAAATAAAATTTCATGAGTTTTAGGTTTTAAATGCTCTACTGATTCGTTCATAGACGGAACGTGCGTCCGGCCTATAAAATTATATTAAGCTAGTGCGAAAAAAAAATGATTAAATTGTTTAACATCATGAGAAAAACGTCAGCTTTCATGTGTATCGTGAACAATTTGAACAGACGTTTTTTCAAGGTCATAACTTTAACATAATTTTTTGTTTATTCTTTAAAATTTCCCCGCTTTAAATCGACTTCTTTTATGTGAAACAGGAAATGGTATTTTAAAATAGCTGGTGTTCTTATTGATCAAGGTATTTAAACATTTTTAAATACATTGTATTATTATTCAACTAACCGACAAACGTACGTCAACTGGATCAGATGGGTAATTATTAATATGCACAATTTTTTTAACAAAATTTCAAAACATAATTTGCACAATAAATAATATATGGCATCCGTTTACTGTATTATTTCAAATTTTCTCTGATTTCGACACAAATTGTCAACGCGTTGTTTCAAGATTTCAAATGCATAAAAAAGTTTTAATCAAACAAATTTTCATTATGTTGACAAGTCTCGTGTCGTTTATAATGTTTTCCTTATTCGAAAAAAATAGGGAGAGTTTTACTATCAGATGATTCAATCTGTCTTATTTAGTTTTCCTACCCTTAAATTTATCAACGGATATGTTCAACTCGTCTCCGTATCTTTGTTATCACGCACACACACACACTCACACTCACACATGGGTGAATATTCATACAAACGCGATAGTACAGGAAGGAAATAACAAATATTTACTGTTTTGAGTGAAAGTTTACTCACATTTTGTTTTTAGTTTGGTTAGGATTCAAATTAAATATGTGGATATCAGCAATGTGGATACGAGTGGATTTGTTTTTATCGGTTCTTGGATATATTTATAGCCAAGGTAAGAACATACTTGTGTTATATGTTATGATATATATGTAATATGTAATACAATTGTAGCCTTTGTATGAGGTCGATACGAGGATATGTCGATCTAAAAGAAGTATATTGACTAAGGACGAAGTCCGATGTCGATATATCCTCGTATCGACCTCATAGAGAGGCTACTATTGTTATATTATCATTGTCAAAAGTCAGAAGAAGAGCAGTAGTTCATTTGATAGGTTGTTTCGATTGTGTCAGATATTCTGAAAATAACCGTGCAATATTCACTTTTTCTATATGCTGTTTTCAGACTACCTTTGAAAATATAGTTTAACGACTGACTCTTTCTAAACGTACTAATCGAATTGGTTAGAATATGCACAATAGTTATATTATATTATACTATTTGATATGCCAAACGCTATGATCTGATTGTAAATTTGCATGGCAGGTGACACATGCATAGACACTTACCCTGTGGACGCATCGGGTCTTGGTCCTTTTTGAGTTTTTGTGATTCCCTCTGTTTTTGTTTGTTACTTTGACTTTTCTTTGACTTATTGATTTCTGACATTTAACAACGGTGAAGTACTGTCGCCTTAATTTAAGTGATATAAAATGAAAACATATGTGATATAAAGCCATGTGTGATTTGATACCATATTTGATATGAAACCATATGTGATATGAAACCATATGTGATTTGATACCATATTTGATATGACACCATATGTGATATGATACAGTATGTGATATGACACCATATGTGATGTGATACCATATGTGAAATGATACATATGTAATATAATACCATATGTGACATATTACTTTATTTGATAGGATACCATATGTGATATGACACCATGTGTGATTTGATACCTCATGTGATATGATACCATATGTGATATGAAAATATACGTGATATGATGCCATATGAAATTTGATACTATATGAGTTATGAAACTATAGTCGATTTGATACCATATGTGATATGTAACGATTATCAGGTTGTATTCATATGGATATTGTAATATATCAGCTGCAAGTCACACTCTGAAGCTTTTTGTCGAGTGAGCGCAGCGAACGAGTTCAAAAAGGATTCATATTGTGTCGATCAGCTGATATTTTTTCAATATATATATGCAGACAACCAGATAATCGATTTATCGGGTTGTATTTGCGTATTTTGCATGATAAAAACAAGTGTTTTCTTTGTTTCACAAGCGAACCGGAAGATGCCTTGATAAGTTCGGGTCAAACGTATTAACGCTGGTTCATACATATGACGTCGCTGATATGTCCGGGTCAAAGTTACTAAGGCCGGGTCAACGTATTTCACGTCAAAAAGCCGTGATATGCTGAGCTGAACATAGGGATATAGGCAGAGGGACGACCGATAAGACACCATATGAGATATACCATATGTGATTTGATACCATAGGTGATTTGATACCACATGTGATATGATACCATATGTGATATGAAACCATATGTGACAATTTGACAGTACTATGCTTTTTATTTTCATCATTTAGAACGTTTTGTCGAATTCTGATTCGTATGAGTACAAAAACAAGTAGGCCAGTATGGATGCACAAATACTGCCTACTGCAATACGGACTGTTTGATAAAATATCAATCCACTCAAATCCACAAATACATTGTCGATAACAAAAAGATGATGTTGATTATGTATATTTGTTGTTTGAATCAGTGTCGTTCTTTATAAATTCAAATATGTTCATTATCTAAAGCAAGGAATTTGTTGGTACGATTCTAATTTTTGTAGAACAAGCACTGTCGAATGCAATGCAATTGATCTTAAAATTGATCATGTGACATAGTAACACGAGTGATAAAGAGCATGCGAATACAAATCGTTTTTGATATATTTGCAATATTATAAAGACTGTGATGGAATATTTTGTAGTAGATCTTTAGATGTTTTAGGCAATATGCATGACAGTAATTTTTCTGCTTTTTATACATTTTTGAAACAAAATCTAATTCAACGAATAAATTTCCGATCCACGGTCTTAGTAAATTCACTTTAACAGTGAAACATAATACTTTTAAAAATGCCGGTATAATCTGTGGGATAAGATAATACTTTGTTCATAAATATACAAACATCACTGCAATTCATTATTTGTCATTGTTGTATAATGTAAAACCATTTTAGAATGACAAAATATATTTCTTATAACTAACAATGGTTTACTAACCTTCATATGCGGTTAAATAACGATAATGTTATGTGGAGATTTAACAATAGAAGGTTACTTTTCTTCTGAATGACTTTGTTTGTTTTTCTGTACTTTAAAAAGCCTTAAAGTTTTAAAAAAGATATCGTATATCGATATTGCAAAACTTTTGTTTAAAAAGACAATGGAAACGGTAACAAATGAAAACTGATCCTTCGTTTGAGATACAACTCTTGTTAGATTAAAACAAGATTTTGTTAATCTAACTATTAAGATTTCCCCTTTAAATATATTATAAGTAGGTGATACTAAAAAAGCCAAGGTGCATAACTTGCATTGCCCGTCATGTTTATTATCATATTATAGCGAAAGCAATTAATATATCAAGAAAATAAAACGGTAGATCGACTCATTATGCACACCGAATAGGCAAGCAAAAAACAAAAACTGCAACTTCATATTAGGAATGCAAGTACAATGAGTAGATAAAAAGAATAATTATAATAAAAATGAACTAAAGCATAAACAATCTTAAACACATACATAATTCTGAAATGCACAATGATGCATAATAATGTAAAAATAATCTCTTTTAATCAAAAGTATCTTAAACAGCAAATTCAAATGAGTATAAATGAAGGAAGATATTGGTTTAATATCTATGAGACAGTAACCGACGACCAGAATAACTAAAATACATTTTGAGGGCAAAATACAGGCTGCAACACAAAACAAATGTCCACAGGTACTTGCCTGTACCAAGTCAGGAATATGACAGTTGTTATCCATTCGTTTGATGTGTTTGAGCTTTCGGGTTTGCTATTTGATTAGGGACTTTCCGTTTTGATTTTCCTCGGAGTTCGGTATTTTTGTGATTTTACTTTTTATAATAATTATGTTAAAACTGTCTGGAGTATATATACAGTCCGTATTCCAGTTGATATTTTATGCATCCCTACTGCCAGACTTGTCTTTGTAATCATATGGAGCACAATTCATATAAAACATGCGAATACATATGTTCAAACTCTTTTAGGTCATTTTTTAGTAGCAACAAACAAAAGAGCTATGTCAATTGGACATGCTTTGATACTATATCTGCCCTTGAATTTTTACTTGATAACATTTTTGTTCGCTTTGGAAATTCCGTATATCGTCAAGTTATCGGAATTCCAATGGGGACTAACTGTGCACCACTTATTGCGGACCTGTTTTTGTATTGTTATGAGTTACAATTTATGACTAAAATCAGCAAAGACCCATCGAAACAACATCTGATACAAAAATTTAACAATACTTTTAGATATTTGGATGATATATTGGCTCTCAATAATGACGACTTCAGTGTGTATACTAAAGAAATTTATCCTGTTGAACTTACTTTAAATAAAGCTAATACTAACAATGACCACTGTCCTTTCCTCGATCTTGATATCTATATCATTAACGGGAAGCTTAATACAAAAATTTATGATAAAAGAGATGATTTTTCATTTCCTATCGTAATTAATCATTTTTAGATGGTGACGTTCCCTTGACACCATCTTATGGTGTTTATATATCTCAACTTGTACGATTCGCTCGTGTATGTAACAACGTATTAGATTTTAGCGAGAGAAATTTATGTATTACTAAAAAATTATTACACCAGGGTTTTGGATATCATAAACTAGTCAAAACATTTACTAAATTTTATCATCGGTATAAGGACATCATTCGTAAATATAACATGCAGACATCTTATACGTTCGGGTATTTCACATCCAATCTTTTATGGTAATATCCTTTACAAAGCACAAAAATGTCAGTATTCACCTCAAAAGCTAACAAAACCTTTAAACAGACTTATTAAGAAGGGATATAGTTACGATACTGTTGTCAGGTCATTAAAGATTGCATATTTTGGCTTTAATATTGATTCATTTATAGGGTCTTTGCATCGGAATTAAACATATTTATTCTAAAACCAGTTGTTGGCATGACACGGGTTATGTTCTTCTCATATATTTTATGATGGTATAATACTAAACCCCTAACAGGAGTGATTGTGCCAGATATTCATATGATGAAGACATAATCTTTCAATCAGTTTAATTGAGGTCTGGAGCTGGCATGTCAGTAACATGAGTAACTGCTAGTAGTCTGTTGTTATTTATGTATTATTGTCATTTTGTTTATTTTCTTTTGTTTCCTATTCTGACATCGGACTCGGACTTCTCTTAAACTGAGTTTTACTGTGCGTACTGTTGTACGTTTGTTTTTTCTACATTGACTAGAGGTATAGGGGGAGGGTTGAGATCTCAAAAAACATGTTTAACAGCGCCGCATTTTTGCGCCTGTCCCAAGTCAGGAGCCTCTGGCCTTTGTTAGTCTTGTATCATTTTCAATTTGAGTTTCTTGTGTATAATTTGGAGTTTAGTATGACGTCCATTATCACTGAACTAGTATACATATTTGTTTGGGGGCCAGCTGAGGGACGCCTCCGGGTGCGGGAGTTTCTCGCTGCGTTGAAGACCCATTGGTGGCCTTCGGCTGTTGTCTTCTCTATGGTCGGGTTGTTGTCTCTTTGACACATTCCCCATTTCCATTCTCAATTTTTTTAAAGACAAATTGAAAAGAAACATCTTGCAGCATTCTTTAATTTAACTTTCATATATATTGAAAATGTCCTGTCACTCAAAAGTCCACATGGCATTGAGTACTTGTTTATATGAGACTTATGACCAGATTTGTACTCAAACAAGAACAACATGACGGGTGCCACTAAAGGAGCAGGATCTGCGTTCTCTCCTAAATTATAATTTTTGGTTGGGTTGGTGTTGCTAAGTCTCTAGTTAGTACGTAGTGTTTTGAAGACGTGTTTGTCTTCGTCGTGTTGTGTAATCTATTCATTGCGTAGTTAGTTTCTCTTCAACTTTACAATTTTGAATGCCTCATTGATATCTTTTGTCTCTTTTTTAAAAGAGCAGCGTACAAAATAATTTCAGTTATAGTAGGAGATACAAAATATAAATGAAAAGCGTTGTTTAATCTGCTGTACTTCCAATATTAGCCTTTAATTATTCAAATAGAAATAACTGCATTATTTTTTGTTAGAGAGAAAAAAAAAAACTATTTCTTCTGGCTACTCATCATAGACAATTGAATATTAAGCATTTTAACCTTAAGCCCAAAAGTTAGATTTTTGAAGCTTCCAATACAAAGATTAAACCCCGTGGTAAAAACTGCATTATTTACAAATATTTCATATAATTTGTTTACTTCACTTTAAGCTCACTTTTTAGTGTACAATGTATAAGCTGAACCATTATAGCATTTTCACATTATTTATATCATTTAAGTAAATTTTGTTCCTAAAACCAACTAGCCCAATAATTTCTGAAATATATCATTGGGAATAAAAAAAACATTGTGCAATCAATATTATAAAAGCCAAATGATTGTTTTCTTTGCAAAATATTGTTTACTAGATTTTACATATACTGGTGTCATTGAATCGACAAAAATAACCTTCGTAAACTGACTTTTAGAATAATTCAGGCTTCCGGGTTTGTGTGATTTATCTGCCTCTAACAGAATTCTATTATATTTTGTTAGTTTAATTATACCCTCTCTTTTAAATTTTCTCGTCTTTTCAAAAAAATTAAGCAAAAATCAATTGACAAGACAACTAAAAACAAAGATCATAAAACAAAGGAGTAGGTCCAGTAAGACCCCTTTTTGGCCCCAAAATATAGCAGTTTTACAAAATTGTTAAAATGTAAACTTTAAGTTATTTATTGGTAAGAATAATGCTTCTGCTACATAAATATGGGCTGTTTTTGACAAAACAATGCACATATATCGGGTACTAACATCCTTTAGTCAGGCTAAATTACTGAAATCTTCACAATTTTAGCATTTTAGTTAAATTTTTAACGGTTTCCGTCTAAAATAAAAGTGGCCGCATTTGTGTTCATTCTTAATATTGAAATGTAAGTTGTATTTGATGATAATACATAACATATATAAAGGTTGAGGATGAACACGGATGCGGACACTTTCATTTTTTACAAAAACCATCTGAAAAGTGACATTTTTGGCATATTTGATATATTTTTCATATTTAAGCTTTAATCAGAGCGTTTTTAATGACTAAATCAGTTAAAATCTTTCACATAAACTAATAGAATCAACTGAAATAGACACTTAAGTCTTCAAAAAGTGTCCAAAATCCTTCGTCATATGAACCTGAAATTTGAGGCCAAAATCGACCATTACCGGACCTACTCCTTTGTCGGAAAGACCCAGAAACGGCCATTTAATTGCGACAAAGATTGTTCCTTTATGAATTCTTGTTCCAATCGTCTACTAAATATGAAACCTGAAATTTGCTTGAAATCGATGTGCTCACTGGGGTGTAAAATGTCTATTTTTATTATATCTATCTCATTAAACAATATTGGGTATCTAAATAATCAAATTCAGATTTTTCTGTTATTCTCATAACTCATTTCGTACTTATGACATATATTTACATTGAAAATATATCTACAAAAACGACATTTCTATTAGGCATGTGAACCTCTTATCTTTCCATGTACACAAACCACTTATTTAAGGGATAAAAGCACTTGGACTTATTTCAGAGAAAGTACACTTTCTTCATAAATCTAAAAAAAAAAAAAAAAATTACACTCAACTAAAAAGTATGTACCCTTGTGTAATTGATTGTTTTACTGTAATTACTATAACAGACAAAATCATAGGAAATAAAGTCTGTTTTCTTGTATATTGAAGTTTTAAATCGTCTTATTTGCACAGAGGTTGCTCAACACTTATAATCAACACTTTTCGTTTCGTTTCAGCCGTCCCCAATGTTTTTGTTCGAGAATCATCATATACGGTACAGTTAGGATCGTCCATTACTCTGGAATGTGACGTGAGTTCAGACATTCAACTTTTGTCCGTAGAATGGTGGCGGAGAATTAAAAATGATGTGTTTGTGATAACATCATCATCCAATACAAATAAATATAGCGGAAGTACAATATCAAACCCGTCACTGACGGTAATCAGTATGACAGAAAGCGACCAGGGCATTTACACATGTGTTGCATACAGTGAGATTGGTGAGGGGAAATCTCAAGACATAAAACTGATGCTCAAATCAGGTTTGATTGTGTTATTTTCATCTTCATAATTCATATATTTTGTTAAGAGGACACAATTTAATGTATTTATTTCTATCAAATAAGTAAAACTAAATTACCAAACTCCAAAGTAAATTCAAAAAGGTAAAGTCCATAAAAACTGACAAAATCAACAACTGTCATCCGGCCTTGATACATGCGTTTTCCGAAAGGAATGGTAAGTTAAACTTGGTTTTATAGCTATCTTAACCTCCCTTTCGTATTACAGTTGTTTATAGTTCCTTTATATTGACAAATAATTGGGATCCAGCAGCCAAAACTATGTAAACATACATTAATTTTCAGTATAAAATCATAAAGCACTATTTTCAAAAGCGACATTTATATAAACACATGTTAAACATACTTTGGATATAACAAAGGTGCAGATAATTTAATTGTAATTAGTTCTTAAATAAACTAAACCCGCTAGTACATTTAAACTTAGTCATTCATGAAGATTTAAAAAAATTCAAAACGTTACAATGTTGGACAACGCACAGCTACTTCTTTACAACCACTGTGTAAGTGCGACTGCAGGTGGACATTTCTACCCTGAGGGCATCACCCACCTAGTAGTCAGCACTTTCGTGTTGAGATGAAATATTATTGATAGATATATTTTCTGTAAAATGTGAAGTAAATAAAATATCGAACTACAAGGAAATTTGAAAACGGAAAGTCCCTTATCAAATGGCAAAATCAAAAGCTCAAACACATTAAACGAATTGAAACCAACTGTAATATTCCTGACTTGGTACAGGCATTTCCTTATGTAGAAAATGGTGGAATAAACCTAATTTTATAGCTAGGTGAATTTACTGCTTGTGTTAATATCTGTAAATTTACCGTTTATGAAATGTTGAATCATTCGAAACACTAAGATTTTCCTACCCCAATCCCAAAGAAATAGATTGCCTTCGCCTTATTTGGCACAGCTGTTCGGAATTTTCAATTTGTATTGCTATTTAATTTCGAATTTGTTTTTGGTCTTCCAACGGTTTTGATTCGAGCATCACTGAGGAATCTTATGCAGACGAAACGCGCGTCTGGCGTAACAAGTTATAAGCTTGGAATCTTCGACGAGTATGTGTCGAACTATACCACATCTCAACAAAAATGAAAATAATATATCTATATTTTTAGATTTATGCAATGGAACAATATACAGTCCTGCCTTAAGTGCTTCATTACATTTTAAACCGGTTGCAAATAATACAATGACAAATTCTTATGAAATATGTGGAAAAGGTATGGAATATTTTAATTTTTTTTAATTTTGTATAGTTACACAAATCTGTACTGACAATTGTCCATATCATATGTTAACCCCTCAATCACAGAACAACCGAACGACTTTGCACAGAAATATTCTACTCAAATAAAATTCCTTAATGATTAAAATAAAACCTTAATAAAAATGCAAAAATTCAAATCAAACATTATGAAAAACAAAGAAATAAACACTGTTATTTTGCAATTCAGTTCAATGGATGCATTTATTATTGTGAAAACGAATTTTTACATGGACATGATCGGCTTGAAACGTGTTGCACGTAAAGCAGATTTATTTTTTTAAATAACACAAAATTCTTTGCAAAGTCGGTGCCTTTTATATCTCCTTGTTCACATTCATGACGATAGCGGTCATCCTACATTGTACAGGTTTTTTAACACGTGTTTAAGTTTTACGATATATTTTGGGAATTTTGTGCGCAAGTACAACTGGTTTATTCCCTATGATTTCTCCATTAACTTTATAACACCAATGAAAAAAGAAATGGTACACGAAATACCACGAAAGAACTTATTATACCTTCTTTGTGACTTAACTAGCTTAGTCTAAGGGTTTAAAGAAAATTTTCCATTATTCCTGTTTATTTTTCTATGACGAAAGATAGCGAATTATAAGTCTGAATTTGTTTATCCTTTATCTTATATATTGATCAAATAAGGAGTAGTGGTATGGTTTCAAATGAAACAAATATCTAACAGGGCATATTACAAACTAAAGGTAGACAGCTCGCTAACAAGCAAACAACACATAACTAAAACAACTCAGCACGTGCAACAAACCCTGCAATCAATATAAAATAAGATGTGGTTTGATTGATAATGAGACATGTATTCAAAAGACATGTAAAAAGAATTTGATTGATAATTCGATTTGTGTAATATGTGGTTAAATGTGACGTTTTATACATTGTTATAATTGCAGATCGAAAACCAGCGGCATCAGCCTTGTGTATCAAAACAGGCAAATTTTCTTCAGAAATAAGAAATGTCATTATACATAATTACTGCTTTATCACTTCGATTGAAGACACATCTGACAAGTTAGAGGAAATAAAAAGAGTAAGAATAAGCAATGCAGAAACTAAAATATTTCTTCAGATGTTTGTCAAAATTTCAAATATTGTTATCATACAAGCTGGTTAATGACGTCACAACAATTCATTTAAAATGTTGGTCCGGTTTAACCATTACATTAACCAACGACATGCACATGCGTTTAATATTTTGGGAGCGCTGAAACATGGTGTAACAGCACAACTATACAACGAACTGTAAAAATCAGTAGAAAATGATTAGATTGGCGCGAAGCACAAAAGAAAACAACTAAAATAGGCAAAAAGCACACAGTATATATAAGAGTACTCACAGTTACTGAAAGGTAGTTTAAAGCCATAACATCTAATGAATAAAGCTTGTTCTCTCAGACTAAAGTAGCAATCTCTTCATTCAACGGATGTTGTGTAAAGACGTAATCACAAGTCTGAGAAAAATATGACTTTGTGTACTGCCAAAATATAATCATATCTAAAGGATTGAGAGTAAAGACGTCATAACAGTTCTGATAAAAGTACGACCTTGCGCACTGCCTATATGTAAGCCATAAAATCGACAGCATGTAGGACAAAAGTTTTCATATTTGTATCGCAATACATATTTGTTTTTTGTTTTCATTTAATCAACAACAAAATCAATGTAAGCGCCAAAAAAAAAACATTGGTAACGAAATCCCTGACGTAATTATTTACCAGTAGAACTTAGTTGACGTTCGTTGAAATCTAAAACGCCACTACAGACACGGGCATGGCAAATGATCGCGTTGGGAAATATACCCCGCGTAAGAAGGGGTCAAAGAAACATCACTGTCTACAAAAAAAAAAGAAAATTAACATTACGGAACGAACAATGGTCTTCGTTTTAAAATATTTGGTTTTGAGTGTACCGTGTAAAACTGAAATATTCATATCTATAAGAGGACAATTATCTCTGTTAATATCAAATGTAGTTAGAAGTTCCCTGGGGTTATTTTCTACAGTATAATTAGAGAAATGTTGGTAATTTAAAGCAAAACTATCATCAAGCAGGTAACGGTCAGTGTTATTAAATGTTTCAATTAAATTGCAATTAGACTAATCTTAACTGAGTTTGGATTTATAACAATCAAACAACATGTCTGTTATTTAATGGGCGCTATGGTTTCCAATAAAAATACCAACAACCTGTCGATTAACTTGGTTGCCGAAACGTACATAGATGTTGTCAAACAGACATGTACAGCCTTAATCACTCATCACAGTTCCAGTAAAAATATCTATCATACTCATTTTTTTTTTCATTACAGGAGAAGGCTTTATATTGGTTGCAGCAAAAACAGCTGCATTCAGAATTTTCAAAGCACAATTTAATTAAATAGGAAACGTTTTGTTTAATATGCTTTTTTGGAAAAGAAAGGCAAAAGATACCAAAATGGACATTCAAACTCATAAGTCGAAAATAAACTGACAACGCCGTGGCTAAAAAAGAAAAAGACCAACAGACAAACAATAGTACATAAAACACAACATAGAAAACTAAAGACTGAACAACATGAACCCCACCAAAAACTGCGGGCGATCTCAGGTGCTCCGGAAGGGTAAACAGATCCTGGCCCTAATGAGGCACCGTCGTGTTGCTCATGTTAGTGCAAACCCGGTAATAAGTCTAATTCGTTAGGTCACATTCAGAAAAAGGAAACGAGATTGTAGTTACGACATTAGAAACATATCCGCTATCATCTGTGAAACGGATATTCCGTAACGGTCAACCAACTCGTGATAGCGTCCGTAATATACGAAGGGACGATTTCAACTTCACTACTTGGAACTCATGGTTTAATATCTTCCTTGTGAGCAGCAACCCTCTATCAAGAAAATCATAATAGGAAATACAAGCCCTGGAGTATCGCATCAACTGGGATGTTGTTACATAAAAATGGAAAGTTCACAATTGGGTCGTTGAAATCATCTCTTTTGTCAGAAAGTTTTTTTTTCAACCGACCCTCATTGTCAATTTCAAGATGTAAGTCAAGATATGAGGCAGACTTAACTATCTCAAGTTCGATGGGATAGATGCGTTCAACAAAGTCACCAAATGTTGAATTATTTAGTGAGAGAACATCATCTTTGTAGCGGTTAAGTAAAAGTAAAGTTAAAGGATACTGCTAACTTCTTTTCTTTCTTCCTAAGAAGTTCCTGTATGAAGTCAGCCTTATATGAATAAAAGAACAAGTCGACAAGAAGAGGGCACAGTTGGTTCCAAAGGGAATGCCGGTTGCTTGTTGAAAAAATGCGCCCTCAAAACGTAACAAATATGTTGTCAATCAAGAAATCAAGCATCTTGATAATGTCAGTTTCAGAGAATCAGATTATTTACAAAGTAGGATGTATCCCTCCCTAGGACAAGATACTTGTATCTACGTTGGCCATTCTTTTTTATGAAACAAAGCAGGACCAACTCTTTCAATTTGCCTTTTAGTTTGGAATGGGGAATACTTGTGTAAAGTGTAGAAAAGTCAAATGTTTTAATACTATTGCAAGATGAAAGAGTCTTAGATTGTATGTAAGATCTTTAGAATCTTTTTTATCAACATCTGATTCACGCCACCTCAATAACTTTGAAGCCCGGCTTTGATTGTGGAAGTGTAATGTAAAGAGTCGAAAAATCATGGCTTTCAACCGTCAAAAGCGCGTAATGTATCTAAATAAGCTTTATTGTGTTTTTAATATTCCAAAAATAATTAATTTAATTAATGTCATATGCTTTATTACGAAAGTTAAACCTCCTATCAATATATTTTGTCATAGTCAGTATATATTGATAATAAGTTACTTAATTATTCAACAACAAAGACGTACAGTATCTATTACTAACAAAAAGAAGCATTCTTTATATCTGTCATATTTAATGGCTAAATATTAATTTTTTGAGGAATACAAGTTACAATATAGTCATTTCAAATAGTTTACAATTGATAAAATATTTTTTTTAGACAGAGATAAATAGCAGTAATACAGAGACAGTCCTGTCACAACTTAAGAACCTTACAGCTACCACCAACCATTTAACTGCGGACGACGTAATTACTGTTATAGAAATATTAGAAGATATTGACCAAATTGGAAGTATCAGTATCAAGGTAAAATGTCGTGTCAATTTGTAAAGAAAATTATACAAACACATTATTAATTTCGTGCGTCCGTAACGCTTTTCTGGAGATCATTTATATTCTAAATTAATTTTAATTTATTTATCAGTAATAAGTTATTCACACTTTTATCCAACAGTATGCAATGGTCATCTTTTGGATTATTTCAGGAAAGGGAAGTTTGGTATTATTTGGAATGTCGAAAGAAATCAAATTTTAGAAAAATTCTATCAATTATTTAAAATTATAAAGATTTGTTAAAATATACCCGTTTCAGTTTATAGTAATATAGTGACATAGCAATAAAACATTTATAAATTTACAGGATGTGACTTACATAGTTGAAACAGTCGACAATATTTGTAAAGTTAAAACAAATATATTGCAACAAGTACAAGATGAATATGCAGGAACAAACAGGTAACTTAACCATTAAATAAAAGGTAAATGATTTTAATTTCTTTTGGTTTCTTTGTTTTTATTTGATGAATGTTTTTTTTTTATTACCTTGATTTTTTATCCCGCCTTTCTTGAACTTTCAAGTTGTTTTTTTTTATTTAATCGCCACTTTTGAGTCTTATTTGAGCGAAGCGAGCGTCAGGTGTACAAAATTATAAGCCTGGAATTTTTGTTTGTATTATGCCTACAAGCACAAATTTGTTTCGCAAATAGCAGACTTGCTTATAGGAAGTATCCGTCTCAATTCTACAATTTAATTTAATAGCGGAATTGAATAACTCTTACTGTTCCCTTGATGCTATGTTTGCTTGCAATAATAATCATTCTTAAACTATACTGCAGAAATGTCTTCAATGTAATTAACTTTATATCTGATATGAACTGCAACAATTGTCCTTGATATTTTAGTTTTACAGAGGCATCTATTCTCAATTGTATTACAGTAGAAACTGGAATTTCTTTCGTTTTCTGCTGTCAATTTCCCACTTTATAAGGTGATTATCCTGTAGATTCTTTCTACACTGTATACCTTTTCCAACTGTTCGTAAATGTGTTTATTGAGATTTTGGATTTCAATAAATATAATCTACATTTAGCTGGTAAATTTATTAAGTGAGGAATTTTTTCCCTCAAAGTACTAAAAACCTCTATTCAAATTTTTTTTCATTTAAAGATGCAAGGATTTGGTTTCAAAGTTTGACTGCAGAAATGTTATTACAAACAGGATCTTACATCCTAATTTTAATATAATTTATTGTTTATAGAGCTCACAAAAAAATACGACCCATGTGAAATTAATTGACCCATTAAATGAAAGTATATTCAAATGTTTTTTAAGTTAAATGTAGTTAGGCATAACGACTAATGTATTGCACACTTCTAGTCCTAGATCTTGCCGATACTTGTAATTTGGCCTTGCCCGGGTCATGTTTTCTCAAGACTGCGCTAATAAAGCCTTTTCACTAAATCCGTCGGAGGTGTTTTGACTACTGCCCCAGGAAAATATTATCCAACTGCAAAACCTTTCGGTCTCCAAGGCTCTTTACTCCGAACTTTATTTGGCCTTTAAATTTTTATTTGAGCGTCACTGGTGAGTTTTTGCAGACGAATGCATACACAATCATTAGCCTGTTATCTTAAATTATGTTTTTATTTTTTTAAGTCTGGCTAAACATGGATTATTTGATATTTGAAATAGGACTTTGAACTATCTTTCAGTATTAGCGATTACTCATAGATCGGTCCTTACATATTTCATCTTTTTGTAATATATTGTTTGTGCATAATACCAATCTAATGAACCAACACTTTCCAACTGATTTATACAGTTTCCCTAATGGTATGCTGTTAAACCACTGTCCCAGTTTAGGGGCGGGTTGAGCGCTAACAAACATAATTTACCCACATTCTGTATATACTTCAACCACGCCATGTGCCTGTATTCCAGTGGTTGTCTTGTTGCCATCTTGTCATAAATGTGTTTCCTTGATTTCTAATAAATGTTCAACTCATGTAGTTCGTTTCCTCTGTTGTATTTCTTCAAATATTTAGTTTTTGTCAGGTGTGTGCATATCTATGGGGACATATTTTATCCAACGGAATTTTTCATTGAAGTAAATGATCAAAACAACAAACAACTCATATTCCGCTATATCATGTATATATGCTGTGTGGTGCTTTTAGTCAAGAGGAAGTCACTACAGTGAAAATAAATTCGATTTTTTGCAGGATTTTACAAATTTTAGATATGATGGTTGTATCTTTGGACATGAAAAACGTAACACAAGCAGACATTTTTACCGACCATATAATAATGCTAGTTGTGTCTGTGCAATTGACAGAAGTTCCAGTCATTGGGTTTCAGTTAGATCAATCATATTTTGCACTCAATGCAACAACAAAACTTTCTTCCGAAACTGATCTAGATGTGGATAACCTGGATGTAGCGTTTTTGTTACCACCTGACTTGTTTTCTGGTATGTCTTATAATACATTCGATTTCAGTAGAATATTTGACTCTAAATTGTGTAATGCATCGGGAGTTTTTATGTCATTGTGTATCTGTACAAAAAAAAAACAGACGATGCACTTATTCATAAAAAAACAATTATATATATATTGAATTTGGAAACAGGAATCATCTTCATATATATAAATTCAGTCCATCATTAAACGAGTAATAAGCAGTAAAAATTGGATTGTAAAAAAACTAAATACTCTCGGTGTAAATCGTTAAAAAAAGACAGGAATGCACTTCATCTGTAAGACTTTTCATTTAAGTGAAGAAATTATGTGATACATCGGTACTATTACTATTTTTTTGTTTGATTCAATATTTTTTTGACTGAGCCATATATTTAACTGAAATAATCCTATTTTGTAAAGGACTATTCAGTAAATGTATTTCTTATTTCTTATTTTGTAGCAATAAAACATCACGGTGACCCTGATTTTCTTTTTATTTATTGGAAGCAACTTTTAACAGCTTTTTTCGCGTATTTTATTAAACAATTCTATCGTTAAGTTTTCTTCTACTAGCACAAAAGTCGGTTTTTCTATGTATAATCTGTACAATAAATAGAATTTTTGCACAACCTGTAGCTAGAAAATTAGTTCATTGACCCATACTTTTTATTTTATTTTTGAAAAAATAAAATATAGAATGAAACAAAAAATTTTGCAAAGTATTAGAAATTTGTTATTGTTTTTAATTTAGACCCATCATCTACCTAAATTTTTTTCAGTTTCTTTCCAATGATTTTCATCTGTTTTACTCTAAAATTTAGGTTTCAAACGAAGCTAATGACTGTTTGCATGTAAAGTCATACGTTTTACTCTGTAAGTACAAAAGGTAGAATGGATACCAACTAAACTGTTGAATCGCACTCTGCCACAATAAGATTTACTAGCGTGAGATGCATTCCACAAACGAGATCACATAAAATTTTGCTTGATAACAGTGCAAGTGTAATTAATACTGATGGCAAATAAAGCTGCAATAAATACTTTCTTTCAATCAACAGATACTAACCTTACAAAGACAGTGGTTGTTTACATTTACAAAGACTTAAAGCTATTTCTTACAAAATCGCATCACACCAACGAGTACACGAATAGTAGAGTTATTGCAGCTACTTTGAAAATTGATGGATCCCTTATAAACAGCCTAGATGGTTTAAATGTGAAAACGTTTTTCAAACCAACAACGGTAAGTTTTAAATAAATGCAGTAAAGATTTAAATAGTACCGTGTAGAATAGAGGTTATCGTCTAAGACCGAGAGGTTATAAATTTCTGAAAAAAGGACCAAAATATCGTTCACCGTCAAAAATAAATGGGAAGAGTGTCGTCAGGGTATTAAAGATGCTCTTTTATCCTATTGTAAAAAATGGTGTAAACAGGGGAAATCTGACAAAAAGTCACTTGATTCCTATTTGAATAAATGTCCCAATATTGTTGATATTCGCATATCACATTTCGAAAATAATTTAGAAATAAATAAAAGAATAAGTAATACGCCCATTTCTAGGATTAAAAACAAAACCTGATAATAAATTGTTCAAATAAGGCCTTCGAAAATAGTGGAATTAATTACTTTTGGAGTGTCAAGAACTCGTTGGAAGTACTTGATAAATTGCATGCATATATTGGTGATTTTGAATCTGTTCAAAGTTTTGATTTTTCTACCCTATATACCACATTGCCTCACATTCTCATTAAGAAAAAATTTACACACCTAATTAAATGGGCATTTAAAAAGTCAGAATGTGAATATATATGTTCAAACTCTTTTAGGTCATTTTTTAGTAGCAATAAACAAAAAAAATTATGTCAATTGGACATGCTTTGATACTATATATGCCCTTGAATTTTTACTAGATAACATTTTTGTTCGCTTTGGAGATTCCGTATATCGTCAGGTTATCGGAATTCCAATGGGGACTAACTGTGCACCACTTATTGCGGACCTTTTTTTGTATTGCTATGAGTTACAATTTATGACAAAAATCAGCAAAGACCCATCGAAACAACATCTGATACACAAATTCAATAATACTTTTAGATATTTGGATGATATTTTGGCTCTCAATAATGACGACTTCAGTGTGTATACTAAAGAAATTTATCCTGTTGAACTTACTTTAAATAAAGCTAATACTAACAATGACCACTGTCCTTTCCTCGATCGTGATATCTATATCATTAACGGGAAGCTTAATACTAAAATATATGATAAAAGAGATGATTTTTCATTTCCTATCGTTAATTAACCATTTTTAGATGATGACGTTCCCTTGTCACCATCTTACGGTGTTTATATATCACAACTTGTTCGATTCACTCGTGTATGTAACAATGTTTTAGATTTTAACGAGAGAAATTTATGTATTACTGAAAAATTATTACACCAGGGTTTTCGATATCACAAACTAGTCAAAACATTTACTAAATTTTATCATCGGTATAAGGACATCATTCGTAAATATAGCTCAACATGCAGACTTCTTATACGTTCAGGTATTTCACATCCAATTTTTTATGGAAATATTCTTTATAAAGCACAAAAATGTCAGTATTCACCTCTGAAGCTAACAAAACCTTTAAATAGACTTATTAAGAAGGGATATAGTTACGATACTGTTGTCAGGTCATTAAAGATTGCATATTTTGGCGTTAATATTGATTCACTTATAGGGTCTTTGCATCGGAACTAAACACATTTATTTAAAAACCAGTTGTTGGCATGACACGGGTTATGTTCTTCTCATATATGTTATGATGGTATGATACTAAACCCCTAACGGGAAGGATTGTGCCTGATATTCATATGATGAAGACATAATCTTTCAATCAGTTTAATTGAAGTCTGGAGCTGGCATGTCAGTTAACTGCTAGTAGTCTGTTGTTATTTATGTATTATTGTCATTTTGTTTATTTTCTTTGGTTACATCTTCTGACATCAGACTCGGACATCTCTTGAACTGAATTTCAATGTGCGTATTGTTATGCGTTTACTTTTCTACATTGGCTAGAGGTATAGGGGGAGGGTTGAGATCTCATAAACATGTTTAACCCCGCCGCATTTTTGCGCCTGTCCCAAGTCAGGAGCCTCTAGCCTTTGTTAGTCTTGTATTATTTTTAATTTTAGTTTCTTGTGTACAATTTGGAGTTTAGTATGGCGTTCATTATCACTGAACTAGTATATATATTTGTTTAGGGGCCAGCTGAAGGACGCCTCCGGGTGCGGGAATTTCTCGCTGCATTGAAGACCTGTTGGTGACCTTCTGCTGTTGTCTGTTCTATGGTCGGGTTGTTGTCTCTTTGACACATTCCCCATTTCCATTCTCAATTTTACTCGCTAAGCGTTTTGTGATCGTACCAACAATGTGGTGGTGGTATGACGTAAATACTACACGGAAGTCCTTAAGAATGAAATTAAACATTCAACTACATTCAAGGCTGTACGTACGCACTACAGAGAGTCATATAGTGAATAATTATGTCACAACCACAGCTCAGCTTAAGGCCTCTTCTGAATATTTGAAGGTCACCACTATATTATTGGTTACATAAACAACACAAAAAACAGTAAAATATCGTTTCACCTCGGCATTTGGTAAGTGTTCTACAACTAGAATTTTAGTGATTTTAACGAGTTCCTTAACTACTATCAAAGAACTGATAATTAATTTTGTAATAAAACATGAAAATAGTGGAATTAACCGTTTTTGGAGTATACAAAATTCTTTGGATGTTTTAGATAAATTACGTACTTGTGATGGTCCTTTTGATTCGGAAGACCGTTTTGACTTTTTTACTCTTTATCCTACACTGTCATACAATCTTATCAAACAAAAGTTTTCCTATTTAATTAAGTGGTCGTTCGATAAATTAAATTGCATATTTATTTGCTGCAACTCACATAAAGCCTTTTTCTCAAACGAGAAAGGTAAGTATGCTAGATATACTTACTGGAGGTGTGATGAGATGACTACAGTCACAAATTTTCTCCTTGACAACATTTATGTACGTTTCGGCAATAAAGTTTGTCGACAGATTGTAGGTAGACTTGTTCCTGTACTGTTATGAATCACTGTTTATATCCAAACTCAGTACAGAACCGTCTTAATTCCATTTAATTGATAAATTCAACGACACTTACCGTTATCTTGATGATATTTTTTCGTTAAATAATCAAGAATTCTCTTAATATACTGCCGAAATTTACCCACATCAACTTATTTAAATAAATCAATTATTAACAGCAATAAGTGTCCTTTCCTAGATTTAGACATTTCAGTTTTACACTAGAAACTACACAAAAATGTACGACAATAGGGATGATTTTTTCTTCCCATTGTTAATTTTCATTTTTTGGACGGTGATGTTCCACTGGCACCATCTTACGGTGTTTATATTTCCCAACTCGTTCGTTATTCCCGTGTGTGGAGTGACGTTTTGGATTTCAATGAGCGCAATCTAATAAATGATTAAGTCAGGGATTTCGTTACCACAAATTACTTGAAACCTTTACTAAATTCTTCCATAGATACAAAGATTCGGTTTGCAAGATTGGCTGTACCTGTAAAATACTTATTTCAGACGGAATAGCACACCCTAAATTTTACGGTGATGTTGTTTAGCGAGCCCGGAAAGTTATATACGATCCGGGTAAACTTATCAATTCTTTAAATAAACTTATTCTAAAAGGTTACCAACTCAACACTGTAATAGATCTTTGAATATTGTTTACATTGGTATAAATATTGATTTTGTTAACAGTAAATTAAAATCCTACTAAGAATTTTGTTATACACATATGCACTTTAACGGTACTACAATCTGTCGATTATTTATTTTGGCATTGCACAATGTCATGTTTTTTCTCTGACTGTTAATTACGTCTTTACACTAAATCCATTGGAAGTTCGATGTGTACTGATTGATATTTAAGTCTTAGATACATGATTGTTTTTATAAGTTATTGGCTTTGAACTAGTTGGCAGTAACTGCAAGTACTCTCAGATCTGTACTTAGCATCCGTTTTGTTGTTAAGCATGAGGGATGGATAAAAACCCTGCCACGTCCGAATTGTGTTTATGTTTGATGTTTGATGTTTTTCTGCTTTGTATCGATCTGATGAGTTAAGCCTTTTTCAACGAATTTTTATAGTTTGTTCTTATGTTGTGCTGTTACACCACTGTCCCAGATTAGGGGGAGGGTTGAGCGCTCACAAATAGGTTTAACTCCGCCAAATTCTTAATGTGCCTGTCCCAAGTCAGGAGCCTGTAGTTCCGTGGATGTCATTGGTTCATGTCTGTCATATTTGTTTTTCGTTAAGTGTTTTGTTATAAATTAGGCCGTTAGTTTTCTAAATTGAATTATTTCATATTTTTCATGTTGGGGCCTTTTATAGTCTACTATACGGTATGGGTTTTTCTCATTGTTGAAGGTCGTACGGTTGCCTATAATTGCTTACATCCACTTTATTTGAACTTTGGTGAAAAGTTGTCTCATTGGAATTATACCTCATCTCCTTATTTTTACATTTTTCTTTAAGAATATAGTAAAGACTAAAAGAGTACCGTATAAAATAATTTAAGCTTATGAAGACGTACGATAAACAATGATTTCTAAACAAAGTAACAAAATCATATGTATGAGTTAACTATCATTTGACACACTCGGGTAAGCTAAGGTAGGGTACGTATATAATCTTCAACGAATATGAATCTTCATGGTGTTTTGTAGGAAAAACCAGTAGGTTGTTACGCTAGCAGAACAGTTCATTTTACTAAATACCACTGCTGATGTTTTATGTTTTAACCTTTTCATCTGCTGAAATACTAGTACTGACAAAAGAGTCACTAAAAGAAAGAAAAATAACTGAGCTACAGCTTAAACAAACTGTTCCTCATATTCGAAATGAGGAAATAATAAAAAGGTGCCTCATCAGGAGAAAATTTAAATTTTTTTTAAACTACTTATTTTCAATATTTAATAGACTGCAAAGAGATTTTTTTAATAAGAGTTACTCATCATGATTGTTATTGAAGTAAAATGCATCGTTTTCAAATGTGTGACCTGTTTAAGATGTCTGTGAATTGCTTCTGTTCATGTTCGATGGCATTTTTTTGATTCTGGGATCGTCTGAATATGCATACATATACTTTTTAGAAAATTTATTCAATATCTTATTATGATTTATGTACCTAGGAAAGAAGCGATGTAGACTGTGGTTACTGGAATTATAGTAGTAATAGTTTGTCTGGTGGATGGTCAACAGACGGTTGCTGGCTAAATAGAACAGAATCGGGACGTCATATTTGCTTGTGTGATCATCTAACAAACTTTGCCATAATAGTTGTGAGTATTTGATTTATGCAACGCATTTTCATGAATAATAATAGTAAATACTTTTAAATAGTTTACATCGGTTTTACCGCTTAAGTGTTATAAATCAGTTCGACTCAAGAGTTTGCTTTCTCAAATGTTCAATTGGAAATTAACAGTACTGGTGTTAAAAAATTTCATATACTGAGTGCCAATACAGACGCAATATTTTTCAAATGAATGAATTTAACCCATCAAATCGTTTTTTAAGGCGACTTATTATTTTTAAGACTTCAACTTTCTTATCGTGTGCAAACATAATATTACTAGCGCTTTCGTGAGTTTTATGTTGAGAAACAAACTAACTCATTGCACATTTTAGCTTCAATTTGATATAACTATTGTTAATGGTAAATTTCAACCAAATAGCAAAACTAACAAGTTATGATGCAGTTTTGTGGATATCCTTTGCATTCTTTTCATGTGATCCAACCTTGATCTTGAAAACATTTTGTACTGAAAAATTCAATGCGAGACTAATGTGTGTGCTAAATGTGAAGGTATTTCCTAGAGGAATCAGTTGACAGAAATATTGTTGTCCATATATAACACAAAAAAATCTCACCAATAACACTAGGCTCCTAATTTTGTACGCCATACATGCGTTTTGTCTACAAAAGATTCACCAGTGACGCTATTATAAAAAAAAAAAGTGAAAAGGTACGCAGTTGAAGAGCATCCATGACCCAAAATTCAAAAAGGTTTTGTCAAATACAGCTAAGGTCACTTTATCCATATCAATATGCGTTGCGTTTCTATATACACTCAAATTTTAATTTAATGGTCGAATACTTAGTAAATATTTTTTTTTTTAAATTACTAGTGTATATTGCAGAATATAGAGGGAGAGGAACACCTTGTAGATAATTTACTCATAAATGGATTATCCAGGCTTGGTCTATTATTATCTATTGGTGGACTTTCGTGCAATGTCATCAGTTTTATAATATTTAGGTTAAGTATATTGTACTCTATCAGCTATTCTTGATCTATGTGTGTGTGTGGGGCGGTTTCATGGTTGCGTGAATAGGGTTATTCACTGCTGGATTTTTTTTTAGGGTTATTCTTCCTACTTATCATTTAATAATGAATTATTCCATGACATATGATAACGTGCTACCGAATATAATTGTTTATCATATATGCAAGGTATAATAATGATTCTTATTATGTAAGTTTAATGTTCAGTCATGTATATTACTTTCCGAGTAAAAAATTCCAATAGAATTTCGCAGTTGATGTAGTTCACGATGTGATGGTATCCCAACTTACTAGCAATATGTTTTCGCGGATATTTAGATAGAAATGTAGTTTTACCGATTGTGGCATTTTGACTGAGTGAATTCGTATGGCGGGTGATACATGCATAGCAGGAGAGGCACCAAGTCTCGCTTTTTTTTTGGGGTCAATGGATTTCCTCAGGTTTTTTATGTTGCCTTGATTTGTCTCTTTTTTATCGACTTATGATCATGAGATTTGAACATCGGTAAACTACTGTCGCCTTAATTTACAAGCTCTTCGACTTTTGTAGTAGGTATCACTTTAAACAAAACCTTCCTTCGTGTATAACTGAAAAGATATTGATTGCCGAAAGTCTCCTCATAACTGACACAAAGCGTTGATGCTATGTATAAGACAGCCTCTTTGGAGTACTAACTTCTATTTGTATCACCACTTGAATCAGAAAAACTAAATTATATTAAAGTTGACGTTTCATCAGTGATCACATACAGAGATACAGTTCGCATGACCTTTATATAGACATCAATATTAAAAAATATGTAGAAGTGGGATGATTGCCACTGAGACAACTATTCATACAGAACAAAGTACAATATTTCATATAGGTTCAACACACTTCTGATAAAAGAAAAAAGAAGTTGTTAAATGTAACGATTTTTCTTTTAGGGCATTACGGAAGAATAATCAATCAATAATCTTATTCAACTATTCTCTTGCTCTTCTTTGTTTCCTGGTTGTTTTTGTGACTGGTATTTCACAAACTGACAATTTACATGTTTGTGTGACCGTTAGTGTCTTACTACATTATTTTATGCTGGTATCCTTTATGTGGATGTTCGTCGAAGGAATCCAACTCGGTTACGGCATTGTTAAAATGCAGACAACAGAAAACATTTCATTGATCAAGTGTTCGTTAGTAGCATGGGGTAAGTACTTGTCGAGTTTTGATCGATTCTTTTAGCACTGAAATTACGTGACCACTTGGACAACATAAAAAATGAACAAAGTTCAAAATAAGAAAATCAAATTGAGGTTTGAGGCATTCTAATTGTTTAACTGACTGGAGACAATTTGTATTTATGTAACTTTCATTGCTGTTTTTCCTAGAGACGTGTCAGCTAATCTCATATTCAAACTCATTCTGTCAGTTATGAAGATTCTTATTTCTTTCATGGTTGTAATTTGGTCAATACTAAGTAATCACTGTTATATTATGATTTCTTTGAAAATATTTGGTAAGCACACGCTGAGCAGTTCGTCAAACAACCGACAATTATAACACTTTTGCGATTAGATTGAAACAACGACGCAATTGCCAACAACCAGGAACATTTAAATAAAAGAACAATTTTGACAACAAATGTTATTAGGTGGAATAGGATGATCTCCAAGAATTATGTCATTATGACAGTTGTTTTAAGTATAATAATAACTTCCGTCATTATTATTATGAAAATAAGTAACAGGAATAAAAGCCCTGTTCATTGATAATTTACTTTCTTTTCTATGTATTGTGTGCGATTTTGTCCCATGTACATTTACTCCATATTCTTTCATTTTCTAAGGAGATGTGGTATGATTGTAAATAAGACCTACTTTCCTCACAAGACCACATAACGTGGATCGTGGCAACTATATGTCACCGTACGGTCTTCAACAATGAGCAAAACCCTTATAGTAAATAGAAAGCTATAAAATCCCTGACAAGACAAAAGGTCAAAACAACGGCCTGATCTATACCTGGTACAGAAGCATTCAAAAAGTTTTAATACTATCATTAGAAAAAAATAATACATTTCATTATTATTTGGTAACTGTTAAATGAGAAACTTGGCAAGTTACATAGCGAAAATGAATGTTGACTATTGAAAACCAGAAAATTCACGCTACTTTACAGGTGTGACACATGCATAGTTCAATGAAGAGTATTAGAAAACATACCTTGGAAACATTGAAGTACAAATAGCAAAATTTAATGTCTTTCCGAAATCATAAGGAACTCAAATTCTCAACCACATTTCTTCTTAAATATACCATTGATATCGAATACATTTTCACTCAAATTGATATAAACAGATTTTCTCTGAAAACAAATTGTAAATGTATAAATATACGACAAACCGCATTTAAATTATACATAAAGCAAAGATAAACCTTCTAGAAATAAAAGAAACATACTTGTATACATGAATTGATACTTTTGTAATTTGAATTACGAAACATTTTAACAAGCATATATTTTACTTAATTATTTTCATAGGAATTCCCGTAATTCCTGTGGCAGTTTTGTTGGCAAAAGACTACCGGTTGTACATCGGAGGAACAAAGGCGTAAGTTAAAGGCATACGATACAGTTACATGGAAGGTAATGACGTTGCTAACGTAAAATATTATTTTTCACGACGTCAAACTGTGACATATCGGGAAAAGATGCATTTTCGACTGATTTTTATCATTCAGACTGATTCAACTTGAAAACGATTTCATGGACCCCTCTTTTTAAAAATGACATTTGGTTTGATTATGTATGAAAATTCTTTATGCCATTTTTTATGAATAAATCACCGATGAAATTATTTTAAATAAGATAAATATACAGCAAAAAATGCCGTTCTTTGACTCAAATCATGAAAATGTGATAAAAAGGAATAATTTCCAAAGAATTGTTACACAAATTTAAAGCACACTTATGTCGAAAGGATATTCCAGATGCTTTTACAAAAATCTGCTTGCGTTTATCTTTTGAAACTAAAAAGTTAAGTGTATCTTTTCAAAGGATAGAAATGTCCGAGAAACCGAAATTCCCAGTAAATGTCTGAAATTTCGACCCTATTTATTTCTAAAAGTAGCACATGAAGTTTTATTTAATATTACATATTTGAATTTACTTGGTGAAAAATAGCTTCTATGCGAACTTTCGTCAAAAATTCACCGTGGGATCAGAACTGTATCGTATGCCCTTAAGTACTAAAAAATTTATAAGAAGTAATGGATTCGTCAACTAAGATAAACGCGCGACGCTAGTCGCAAGGCGATTGTCGTTTCCGAATCCTCTACTTATAAATTATCAAGCTTAACCCATTTCTGGTAAACACGACTGTGTATTTTACGTTTTGACATAAATCAGGTGAATCATATTTTATCTATTTTATTCTTAAATAGTTTCAAAATTTGGTATCCATACGGTTCACAAGTTATATTGAGGTACCCGCCAAGTCAACAGAAGTAAAATATAATTTTAAATTTTATACGTCTGTTCCCGGTTGATTTTGCAATTGTTCAGAGTGTATATTCCATATTAGCTGTTAGACATTTTGTAACCAAGATTCCGGCATTTGTTGGCTATTATAAAACCAGAATTAATTATTTGAACGTGAAAGAGAGGCGAAAGATATCAAAGGGACATTCAAACTCATAAGTCGACAATAAACTGACATTGCCAAGGCAAAAGAAGAAAAAGGCCAAAAAATAAATAACAGTACACAAAACACAACATAGAAAAACCAAACTCGTGATGGCGTCCGTAAAATTTACAATCTATTGATTTATTGTTGATTGCTTAACGTCCAGTGGCAAATATTTCATGCATGTTCAGGACGAGAACAAATTAACAATAAATACAATAGGTAGGGCCTGTAATAGAGGCCGTCCGGAATGTATGGTCGGGAAAATTTAGACTGCCACTGGAAAATGGGGGAAATTGGAAGATGGATAGGGACATATGTGTTGCCTTGCAACAGGCCACCTACGAACACCTCAAGGAGTTGTTGCAAGGGTTTTTAACGTGCAGAAAGCGTATACTCTCTCTACTCAAGCCATCGGATTTAATGTCCCAATTCTGACCGGACGTAGCTGCGTACTTGTAAATCCCGCACAGCCAAACGGACGGCCTATTTAGCAAGGGTTTTACTGCCGGTCGGAGGAAGACCTGTAGTGACCATATTTCTATTTCCTAGTCACCTTTGGCGGCTATAATTTACGAAGGGGTGATTTTAACTTCAACACTTGGAACTCTTGGTTTATTCTTTGGGAGAAATCTAGTAGTCTTGAATGGATAAATAAGTTAATATTTTCATTTTAAATCCATCTCATCGATAGCCGTGATCTTATAGTCATTGGTTACGAAACAAAATGGTAATTTAATGATACGAAGTTCGAAACATGTACCCGGAATTATTTTAATTATACCGCTTTTTGGCAAAGTTAAATTACGTTCTATTATTTTTTGCTTTAGAAATGTCGAATGTTGAACGTTATATTTCATGACTTATAAAAACCGCCCCAAATACAAAAGAAAAAAAATGAAAACAATTAAAGCACTAGCTATTATACATGTAAATGTTGGATATAAACGAAAGACGTTCATTGTCAATGAGACAACTACATAATTTATTGAAAAGCATGATCAATTTGTAATTGTATATCAGCAATCGTAGTTGAGTGGTATCATGCAAGATCCGAAGACTATCGTGATTATTGAAGAAAATACTCGCAAGTTCGAACTCCGAATGTGTTGTACGTTGTCGGGATGTAAAAAGTTAGTAAATTATGAGTTAAAAGTTGGAAGAATACGATTTAATTTCGGTTGACAATGGATTCTTGAAAAATAATCTATTGTCATAACAATAGACTGACGTCAGAGAAATGGGTTAAGGATAAGTACACAAAATTCTTAATGAAAAAATGTTGACATGTCTTTATCAAATTTAAGTGTCATATCTCGAACTTTCCTGAAATCGACCAGTCTAGAAATGTCATACGCACTGCATACGATATAAAATCTTAGTTTTATAGTAAAAAGTATAGGTAAACGATTTTATTTTTTTTGAAAATGATGAAATATCAACAACATAACAGAGGGTGGTAAAGGGTTATTTTTGTGCAACGTGTTTTGCCATTTTTATTTCACGTGCAGCCGTGAAAAAGATTCGTTATTCACCGTGTTTCGTGAAATCGGTAAAAAGATCAACGTGCAAGAAATTTTTAATTGTTCGTTCATCGTGAAATGGCAATTTTATTTCGCGTTCTTCCGTGCAGATACCCCCCCCCCCCCCCCCCCCCTTTACGCTCCTCATAAAAAATTGCATAATTTCGTTATCTTTTATATAAAGTAAACCACACCTAACCAGAACTGTAAAACTAACTGGTATACATGTGAAAACGTGATCACACCGTATATCGAATTCCTATTCTGTAGTAGGCTTAACAAATAGGTGTAATTAGATAAAACGACTAAATATCTTTACAGGTGCTGGCTATCCAGAACAGCTTTCTTTTATGCGTTCTTAGCACCTGTTGGCACTATTTTACTGACAAACTTGATAGTTTTTACTTGTATACTTAGACGTCTGTCTATTAGATCACCTGGTATGTCAAAAGATGACGAGAAACGGGATAACAGGAAGAGAATCAGAGCAGCCGTGTCTAGTAATGTTCTGTTAGGTAATAATAGTATCTTTACAAGCAAATTTTCAAAATTTCAATTTAAAAAAATGATTATCTAGAAGCCTCAAATATTGCATACAAATTCTGGACGAACAAATTTCTTATACATGCCTGTAGCAGCATTAGATTTATAGTATTGTAGGCAGGAGAGTTATTGTTAGTTATATTATATAGGGCTAATAAGGGGTAAAGTGACTATTTCGACCATGCGGTTATATTTGCAGATCTTGAACTGCTGGTTATTTCTCGATAAAAATTGCATTGATTGATTGATGTTAGCTATACATCCTGTGGCAAATATTTCATACAGAAATTTTGCCTTGCAACAGACCACCTATGGACCCTCAAAGAGTTCTTCGCGTGCAGAGAACATTGCACTCTCTATACGAGGGATTGAATAAAACGTCCCAAATCTGACCGGACATAGCTGCGAATTTATACATTCCGAAAAGCCAAACGGACGTCCCATTTCGGCAAGGGTATTAATGTTGCTTTGAAAAAGACCACGTGAGCATTTCTTTCTATTCCACAGTAACCCTTGGGGACAATCATCTTTAATGGGCGATAAATATTATTAGTTGACTGACGATTTATACTAAGTTGACTAATTATTAGTCTTATCCTGATGATTAATTTTGCTGTTACCAGCTTTTTTTATCTACATTTGTTTTGACCAAATATACAACTTATCTACTTTTGTTTCGGACAAAAATGTTACAAGTTGGTAAAAATCGACATTTAGAGGCAATAACTCCGATAAGGAGTCGACCAACGACTTCGACATTTGGCAAATTTGTAATTTGATCTGCTGATCATTCACTTATTTATATTTTTTCTTTGTCTATACTAATTTTCAGAGAATGAGCATAAATATAAACAAATATTCAAACGCAAAGTTTAAGGGCAATAACATCATAATAAGGAGTCGATCAGGTACAAACGAAAACAAACATACAAAAGCAAAGTTTAGGGGCAATAACATCATACGGAGCCGATCAGCTACAAACGAAAACAAATATTCAAACGCAACATTTAGGGCAATAACTCCTATCAGCAGTCGACCAACTATTTTGGCCAAGTTTACTTATTTGTTGATTATGTCTTGCTGATAATTCTTTTGATGTGAAACATTTCTCTCTATCTTCTATAGTTTTAAAGATAATTAAAGACGTTTGTCAATTTTTGGCGAAACAAGACAGTCGGTAGATCTGAACAATTCTGTCACTGTCAGATTTGTCTCTTTCTATAGCCATTTATAAGATAATAAACAAAACTTTCATTTACTCCTTATGTTCTATTTTTAGCCACTTGGGCTATTTTGGTTGGCAGGCGGGATCATTGGACACAATTAAAAAAAGATGGAAAGTGTTGATTCCAATTTCCCAAGTAGTTTCAGGAGGATATTTTTGTAAAAGTTAAGGAACACCAAATGACAAGAATAACACACTTGCGCCTTTTGGTAAAGTGAGCAAAAAAAACAATACCAGTATATTTATTTACCCGTGCATCAACTGACCAACACATCAATTAACAAAAAAGTAGAAAAAAATATTGGATAATTTGCTGCTTTTTAAGGATTTCCTAGTTTATTTGTTACTTTTATACAAAAAACCTAATTATCCATTTTTATTTATTTTTTTGATAGGTTTGACATGGATTTTTGGATTTCTTACAATTGACAAAGCCAGTATAGTATTTCAATACATTTTTGTATTCCTCAATGTGTGTCAAGGATTCTTTATTTTCCTGATTTTCACACTGGGACACAGAGAGAGCATCTGTAATGAAAAGAAAGAAAAAAGTTCGGGAAAAGGGGTTTCAACTGATAAACATAGCTCAGCTGTATCAGGAAAGACAATAGATACACGGTTGTAGACTTTATGTACGTATATATGGTAATTTGCTGAACATTGGTCGTGTACAAAGAGGATAATCCCGGGTCACATTTAAACCCGCACATCTAATGTTTGAACATGTGTTGTAAGGATACAGTTATTATTTGTCTGTTTTACAATCTTAAAAAAAATAATCATACCATATATATTTTTGTTTGTTTGTTTAGCTTTTTTGTGCTACTGGGGTTAGAGCGTTATTAAAAGTAACATATGCGTTGAGTGAGAGGAATTGAGAATTATTGATCTGTTTACTTAAAATAGATTTATTACGATTATCAGACGAGATTTACCGCCCAAAGTCTTGTTGAGATATTCCATTGTTTTCTTAATAAAGTCGTCTCTGACGATCGAAGTCCCTAGCTATTCTTTAATAAGCTGTCAAACGTCGAACCAATGCCGGAAAACACGTTAACATGCATTGTTTAGTAAATTTTAACTTTCGTGATTGTAGCTTCCTTACCGATCTTACCTGTACAGATTGCCGTTAGGTACATATATACAGAAATAAATGTATTGTGTACTCAATATCATAAAAATGTTCCGGAAAAATATTGTATTGTGCCCAAAAATTATTATTTTATGTGCTCAATATAAAAATATTGTGCGCTCCGTATAAATCGCACGAATTATTATATTTTGCGCATAATTAAATACATTGTGTGCTCAATTCTTACAGCTTACACGTAGTATTGCGCTCTTATGTCTCCTGTTAAGTCAGTGGAGGATTTAATTAGGTTGTATTTTGAAATGGGGTTAGATTACAGCAGCATAAACGGTTTTTTTTTTGGAATTAATACATAGAGAAATGGCACAGGAATGTAATTTCATCACTGATACTTGAGTAATGATTTTAGTAGGACAGTCCATAACAGCCTTCGATATGGAAACTACACATGGGAAGGTGACAGAAAATGATACATTTGCGGATAATATGTCTAATCTAGTGATACATAACCTGATTGAGGTCACCGCAAGGTTTCAACAAAGAGCAAAACCCATAGCGTCAATGACGAGTCTTTTGTAGACGAAACGCGCTTCTGGCGTTCACAACTTTAAGCCTGGTATCTTTGATGAGATTTTTATTTCGGCAGTGCCATCTTTTATTTTGATATAAAAGTCTTTTTCTCGGATTTCGGATTTTGACACAACTACATTTGCATCTTGCATGCCAAGCAACTGAACTAAATGGCTGATGTTCCACACAGTTTGAATAATTCTTTCATTATTGAGGAATAATAATAAAGGTCAGCGACGTGTAGTGTTTAAACTTAAAGAAGTGTCAACGTGTTCATGTTCCTTTGGAAACAATGCTATGAATAAATATATCATAGATACCAAGATTAAAATTGTGTACGTCAGACGCGTTTCGTCTTCAAAAGACGCTCGATTCAAAAAAGTTTTAAATATATTCTATTCCCTTTTTTTTTTCGCCAGGTACAAATTCTGTAATATGTCTTCCAGTGGAAATAATACTTTAAAATATTACATCCATTTGAAATAGTTTTAATATGAATCTTCAATTCCACGATAGAAGGACTCTATACTCTTACAGATCTCTGAATATTTTAGTATTTACATCTGACTAACGATGCTTCTAGAGTAGGTAGTAATTCAATAAATCTGAGGAATTGTTTTGATCGCCGATAAAATAGACTTTAATTTGGGCAGAGGTTCCATTTCGTGTTGACAATAATTTCACTATAAGGCAGTTTGTAAATAAACAAGCAGACCCAAGTTCTCCATCTATGGTCGAAATTACAAAGCAACATAAACATCAAGATGTCCTTTTCAATTAGCAAGTGCTGTGTTACTAATTTAAGGAAAGAGTGAATTATGGATTAAAGAAGGATTAAAGTTAGAAATTTGAAACAAAAAAAAATCACTTCAAGTATGATTTAAGTGACAGTTTCCTCTCGACAATAAATAGAGCAGAAACATATATATGTGTCTTAATGAGGAACTATTTTGTCGGGTTTTTCGAAATTCGTGGAATATAAAAACGCTTGTTCATCTCTGAAAAAAAATACAATTTGGACATTACATTTCTGTTGTTTTGAGTGGTCTGCACTACGAAATGATCGTAATAAGCCGCCACGCTACAGTTAAATTTTTTTGTGTGGAATTTTTTTTATAGATTCAATGAATAAGTGTTAATTCTTGAAAAAAAAACCATGAGCCCGGAGGGCGAATCGTTAGTTTTTCATGAATCAACGCTTATCTATTGTATCTATGTCTAGGTTAGTCTATAAAAAGGTATATACTATGAAATTTAGAGCGAGGGGCTTGCCCCGAGCTCTTAATTTCATAGTATATACCTTTTCATAGACTATCCAATTTAGCACATATTTACAACTCGAGTAATCTTTTAATTGGTCTATTGATAGTTTATTTTCGCTGACTACTTGTATCACAGGTGTTTGTAAAACGGAGCTCATTAACGAAGTTTTGTAAATCTACTCACTAGTATCATTGTAAAATATGTTATTCCAAAAGGCCCTTGACTCCAGAATGAAAAGATGGTAGCAGCTGGTGTAAGTATGTATATTGATATAAAGCGGTGTTTTACTATACATGTTCTTCTTACATGGTAAGATGACCAAATAAATTGACCAAAAGCAGGCAATAATTAAATTGCAGTGGAAGCTTTACATGTTTTGAAAACATTTTTTAATTTCACAGTAAAACTAAAGCTATAATAGATTTGAAACATATAGATAGTTTGTCCCCATAGATATAGTCTAGCAGATAGGCATTAAAAAGCAACTACCAATAGATCACAGATTATAGGTTTTGTGTTTTTTTGTTTTTTTTTTATTATTTCAAAGTAAAAACTAAAAGATTTATCAGAATATGTTTATATATATATATATATAATTGGCACATTATCTTCAGACATAATCACAGTTTTTCAATTCATGACATCGTCCTGAACATGCATGAAATATTTGCCACTGGAAATTAAGCAACCGATAATCAATAAATCAATCAATTCATGACGAAATAGATCACCTTCCTTAAAAAAGTTTAAAAAATTATCACCAAGTTGCTTTAATTTCCCCTTCACAAGGTTTCATAGTACACACTTTTTGTGTACAAAGTAATTGCATGGATGATACATTATCATAATTTTAAGATATCGTTGTACTCTAATCAAGGTATAAAGAACCATATGTATTACCCTTTATTTGAATGAAAGAAATTTGCGATTGTCAAAAACATTTTTTAGATCCAAAGATTTTAATAGGAGGATATTTAAAAATCAACGTGAAAACTAATTACAAACTATTTAATTTAATTTGGAACACAGCATTTTATTTCAAAATAGCCAGTGGCAATTTTTGTTTTAAATATCTTGATTACGATACAATGAAATCTTACCCTTGTGGTCATTCATGCGTAGTTACTTAGTACACGGGAAAAGTATGTACTATGAAAATTAGAAGGCAAATATAAGCAATTTGATTGGACGAGAAGTTGTAAGTATGTGCTAAAACTTAAACTGTTGTGTTGATGTCTTTTCAAAATTAAAGCCTTTTCTTAATTAGAAAGCATTGTAAGTGAGTATAAATAACCCCGTTATCATGTTCAACAATGCATTAATAAATCATAGTTCACAATAAATTCGTTAGAGAAATACAACTACAACATAACACGTCTGTCTTTAAATTATTATACATTTGAATATTATCCGTAATTTACAAAATAAGACATATTCGAACTTAATTTTAAGTATAAACTAAGGTTTCAACTCCCGCAGGCAAAGTTGGCCTTAGATGGATTTTGCTATTTTATTAGTTTTTTTTGGTCATATAGCTCTTCGATTGTTTCGGTTCTTATAAATCCTTGGCTTTCAAATATTTGGCTTTGAGCGTTCCTGATGAAGGTAAATCCAGAAAAGCTTTTCTAACGCATGAAATTTATGTAACGTGTTGTTTTCATTTTTTATGAGTGTATTACCGAAATTTCTAGCAAGAAACCTAATTCTATGCACATCACAATTTACTCGCATAGGTATTTGCGAATAAACATTTGTAAAGAGATGTGAGAGGAAATTGAATTTCACTGCCTGTGAGAGTAGCCTTATTAGTGAACTAGTGATCACATATCTTGACCTCCTGAAGGGGAAACATTCCCAAGAAGTGACTAATGCCAAAAAGCAGGATGTATGGCTGGATATCACCAGCCAGGTCAATTCATTGGGGGTCTGCCTCAGGACAGAAGTGAGGAATAGATGGTGAAACCTCAGCCGTGGAGCAAAGCAAAGTTTACCAATGTGCAGAGGCAAAGGACCCAAACTGGTGGTGGTCCTCCTCCTACCCAGCCTTCACAGGAAGAGGAGAACATTATCAATTGTATGAGGGACACCGCCTATTTCTGTGGAGTTCCGGGTGGGCAGGAAACTGCCACTGAGTGATCAGAAGGTAATAAATGTTTAAAATGTTTTCAAATTACTGTAATGATGCTTTTTAAACTGTCTTTTCACCTGCAATGTTTACAAATATACAACAGGGAAATCCCAAATAGTAACCCTGGCTTTCGAAATAAAAATAGATGCATCTTTATTTAGTTGTAGACCGACAATCTCAATGACAGTATTGTGTGCTTCCTTAAATCATTTATTTCCTTAAATCATTTATTAAAGGCAAATGTCCCCAAATTCCATCAGTTTGTGTCAACATCTCACCTTATGTAGCTTATTTGTTTAACATTTCCCCCTGCAATTGGACCATCCTTGCCGCCGAAAAAAAGCCGCTTGTGTCATAGCAAAATATGTATGGAGGTGTTAAATCGTTTTTTATTTAATATGCATCCGTATTTGGTGCTCTGTTATTTGACGTTCAGCCGTGCAAGACAGGTGTTTTGCATTAATTTATTTCCTGTTCATCGTTAATTACATTTTTTTAACATTGTCCCGTGCACGGTCCCTTAATTTGAGTTAAAAAATGAATATTACAAAACAGCTTGCAGCAAACATTTGTTTTCATTGTGATATCCCGGGAAACAATATTAATATTAAGGATTTTTATATAGTGATATATACTATACAAATCCTTGTGAATACTAAGAATAAATTCAGAATGGCTTAAGTAAGCAATGCCAAGTGGAGCAGCTATTTAAGTGCCTATGTTCTAGTTTACTATTTT